GGAAGAGGTGAACGAAGATCTCAAGGCTAAGAACGGGTCACTGTATATTTAGCAAAAAGTCACGTTAAAGCCCAGAGAAAGAGGGATAACGTGCCGGGGGAGGAACTGTAACCCTCCTCAAAACAGGAGGCTGCGCTGATACGGAGGGCGGGTGCGTGTTTCCTCTCCGGCTGCCGTACTCCGAGGAAAAGCAGTAGCGTTGGACACAGGGTCAGAGAGACCCCCCGGAGCAGCTTCACACGCTGGGAATGTCCTTTACGCAAAGAGGTAACGCTGAGAAGCGCCACAGGAGAGAAGAGTCCTTTGCCGGGGAATCAGGGTTTCACGGCTCACCGAAAGCTGGAGGCTCCGTGGAGGCTGGGAACAGAACGACCAAATATCTGAGTGACCATGAGCCTCAACGAATAGTTTTTAAAAATAAAAAAATAAAAAAATAAAAACTTCATTGCAGTGCCTGTGTACACTTCCTGGAGAAAACACCGTTCTTCTCTCGGAGGGACGAATTTCTGCAGCCCTGCTCGCTCCAGACATCGCTGAGCGATGCGTTCATTACACCACGTGGCTGCATGGGGAAGAGGGCTGACTCCCAAACCGCTTACCCGCCTGGGATCTTGTTACACTGGAAACTGGCAGCTCACACAGCGACATCGTCCAGGTATTGAGAAAAATCAGATAAATCTTCCTGCTGGTGTCACGAGCTCAAGGCCCAGCTCAAATCCCCGCCCAAGACGGGGCCACGCAAAGCTTTGGGTTCTTTTGCAAACTCTCCTCATCAAAAGCTTTTGGCTCCGTTTCCTCCTCTTCTCGCCCACGCAAGGATCCCGACAGAGGGGAAATATGACGACCAAAGTGCTTAGAAAGAGCACCGTCAGCTCACTGCAAAAAAGTGCCCGAGGCAAAACTCTGTGGGGGCAATAAACTTGAAAGCAACGTTCATAATTACCTGCAGCGCGTACACCGCACACCTCTCGTTTAGCAAGACGTGCGTGTACGGGCTGATCTTGGCACGGACACCTCACCCCATCAGCACAAGCAGAAAGATCCTGCTTGTTTGGGAGGGGTGTTGGGAAAAAGAAAAAGAAAAAAAAAAAAAGCTCATTCCAAGTTTAAAGCAATCTCAGTTCTGCTGCTTGGGAGCTGCAAAAAAGGCCACACGCTATTAAATCTTTAGAAACTTTTAGACTGACAGGCGTTCTCTCTGAAGGTTTTCAAAGCATCTGTTTCACGCCCACCTAAGGAACCGAGGGAGAAGCTCCACAGTAGTTTAAACCAACCTAAACGGAAGGCAAGGTTTTCCAGAGATAGTTTTCCACCCAACCACCGCCCTGAACTCGTAGCTCCAGCCCAGAGGAGACGGTGGATCTGTAGGTCGGGTTGTGAGGAGCGAAGGTCTCCGAGCCGGCTTCAAAAGCGGCCATCAAACCCCCGCGCTCAGAAACCTTCAGCAGGTGTTAGTTTTCTGATCATCTTATTTGGGGCATAATTTTGACACTTCTGTCAGGCAGGCAAAATCCTATCAG